CTACCGGCCACCTCCCGCATTTCAGCAAAAAAGGTCGATAGGCACAGTGCAAGAAAAAAGCCGCTTATGCCACAATGTCATTAAAAGTCTGGATGCAAAAAGTCAAGACAACATTTTTTTAAACCAAAGACGGTTCGACATCCAATGGTTCGTGAAAGGTCCTCACTGTCACTGTTCCAGGGAAATACAATGCATGAGAGATCGGCTTTGAATTCCAACTCCAGAGGTGCCGAGTGCGATACCTTCGGCGGGTTACTTTTGTCCTTACTACAAATCTCCTTGAGCAAGCAGTTTATCACACTTTGTTTCAGACTGGGTAAACTCGGTAGAGAGCAAAACTCAGAACTGAAACGTCATGAGTTCTAGCCCTGGTTTGAGTCCATCGCCCTTATTCCTTCAGATGATCGAAAATGATCACCATCCTGATAAATGAGCGGGAATGAAACCGGACAATATAAATCATGCAGCTGACAGAGCTGCTGTTGATTCTGTCTTTAAAAATTAGGCATTCCTTGCTGGTGACAAGAAAACTGAGATTAGTGCCCCCTTCCATATTAATTTCATAAAAACATCGTGGTAGAATTTACCTATTCATGTAAGTGTAAAGAAAATCGACATTAGAACGGTAAAAAAATTTCCTTCGTCTCCATTTCCTTCCTTCACGTTCACGACCACCGTTAGTTTAGCTTAGCACTATCATACGATTTTCTGCCTGCAAATTGCCTGTTTCCCACAACGTTGACTATGAGGCTAAACCTGATAAAGGCGAGTCTATTATAGCCATCTAAGCAAACAAAATAACAAAAATACATCCATTATATGCTAGCATTATACCTTTAGTATAAAACGACATTGCTAACATTGTTTTTGTACGTGTTGTTACATGATGCCCCCTGAAGATGAGACGAGTGCCATCCGAAACGTCAGGATTTTGTTTAATAAAGCATATATCTGGTCTTAAATACTCCCCTTCGGCAACATGAAGAAAGTAACCCCACCACCCTCTTCTATTCTACCGTTATCCCGGCAATATTGTATGGCTCTGATATGGCCACTCACTAAAGCCGAGCGCCGAGGGCAGCCAGCTATTTTTCATTCAGGAAGCCATGAAAAGAAGAATCTTGGAAATTTCACGTCGCCACCACCCCCACCCCAACACAGTCATCGGAACAACGGATGAGATCGAAGGACATCGTCGTCGAAAGCAGAAGGAAGAAACTATGATGTGCCGGTAACTTAGTACGGCTCTCAGGGAGATGGTTGGTGATGATCGTCGACTGGTACCCTTGCGAGATGATTAGGTCACTTGGTCGCAACCCTGGGTTAGAAAGATAGTCAGGAGCCTGGTACGGCGTACTTCGAGGGACAAGGCTTGAAACCGCAAAAAATAACGATTCGCCACC